CGTTCCGTCTTCACCATTCCTTCATCCAACATGTTTTCCTTTCTAGGATTGAATTCGATCATCTTTTAGGTTTCCCAGGTGAGGGTCCTGATATCCCCGCCGAGTGGACAATTTCTTCCGCCAATATTGGCAGCTTGAAATCCAATATTTCTTGGAAGCACTCTCTTGATACAGTTCAGTGTTTGCAAGAAACACGTATAGGCTGCAATAATATTCGCCATTCACAGAAACTTGTTTCTGAGTCGGGGAAGGCCTTGCATATGTGTGCCCCCTTGAAAGGCACTGTGCGTTCTGATGGGCTACACACCACCATGAATGGAGGCACAGCCATTCTTGCGCCCCCTGAAATTACCTCTGCTTTTGCTTTCGAGGAGGATTGCGCTGGATTGTACAAGCCCTTATTTAACTCCCACCGTGCTAATGCATGTTGGATTCAAGTGACCCCTTCTTTGAAAGCTCTTGTTTTCTCAATCTATGCCAAGACTGCTGCTTCTGCGAATCAACAAATTTTTGACTACAATGATAGTGTGTTTGCCGATATCTTTTCGATTGTTGCACAGTTTGGGGACATCCCCATCCTGTTAGCGGGTGATTTTCAATCAAATCCACTACACTATCCGTCCATTTCGAATTCTGTGAACTTCCATGGGTGGTTCGATCCGTTGTCACAAAGTGATTGTAATGGTGACACCTATAGACCACTCACGTATTCAAAGGATGGATCTTTTAGTGGTTCAGGCGATTTCTGTTCCTCTATTGACGGGATTCTCCTCAACCATGTCGCACATACTGCCTTGCGCAACATCGAAGTCCTCAGTATGCAGGGTATTCAGCACCGACCTATCAGAGCAACCTTTTCATGGGCCTCCATTAGGCTTCATGGCTTCGTACACAGAAAGTTTGCTCAGCTTGACACCTCTTGCATCGGTAAACCTGGTCTTTCACAGACGCACACAGCTAATACCCAAGCAAACACTCTGTGGGATTCCCACTTCGTACATAAATATAATGATGCCCAATCCCAAGAGGCCAAGTGGACTATCATCAATGAATTTTGTGTTAACACTTTGCTTGCCAGCGGTGCCACTTGGGGAATCGGGGAACGAGTTCGTGGGCAAAACCCCACTTTTACTCCAAAACAATTCTGCCCTGGTCAGTCTAGGTCCAATACTGCTTTGTCCCTCAAGGGGTCCTGGCTTGAGAACGTGCTTGGCAGACTGTGGGAATTGTTCACCCGCCTTCAACGTCCAGCCTCAAGCCTTATGGATGAACACATTTTGACTAGAACCATCACTAAAGCATGGCGTACTCTCGCCACTTTGCATGCCCCATATATTTGGCACCAGTCACAAATTCCAACTCTTGCTGAAATCCATGCCAACATTAAGTGGGTTCAGTTCCAACTCCAAGCCTGGGATTTTTCCAAACGCCAATCCCGCATCAAATCTTGGAAACATAAAGTTCAAGAATCTGCTTTGTCGAACAAGAAGTACATTTTCCACCACCTCAAAAACAAAGTTGCCGATGAACCTTCCAACCTTGTCTTGGACGATCAGCAAAACATTGTTTGTCAGCCAAACGATGCAATTCAATTGATCAATTCCAAATGGGATGACATTTTTTCTGCCAATGTTCTTCATGAAGAACCTCTCCGCATTTTGCAAGCTGCCTGGCCATACTTGAGCCATGACTCGAGCGAGTTTGAACTTCCCCCACTTGCAGCATCTGATCTCGCCTGCACCATTGCTGGCCGTAATCCAGATGCAGCTGCTGGTCTTGACGGTTGGCGTACCACAGATCTTCAGGCTCTTCCCATAAAGTGCCTTGAAGTCATTGCCAAATTTTTCCATACTGTTGAAGATGACTGTGGGGGCGACTTGCCCACTGCCTTAGTTTGTGCAAAACAGGCCATTCTCAACAAAGCAGGTCCCGCGAGCCCAATGAATAAAAGATTAATTACCATATTGTCACCAATGTTGCTTGCATATACAGGCACACGTTTTCGCCAGCTTCAAGCATGGCAAGCCAAGGTCATGCACCCGTCACTGCATGGAGGCATCAAAGGTCGGTCTATGACCTCGATTAGCAATGGCCTTCGTCTCGACATCGATTCGGCGCAGCTCTCCAATGAGCATCTAATCGGCATCAAGCTAGACCAGTCGAAGTGCTTTGACCGACTTGTCCCATCCATTGCAGGTGCATTCATGTTGGCACTGGGAGTTCCAAAGGGAATCGTCAATGTCTTCATCTTGATGTACAAAGGATTGCACAAACATCTTGCATACCGGGGTTGGATCTCCAAGCAAAGTGTTACAAACGCAAACGGAGTCGCGCAAGGATGTTCCTTTTCACTCATTGCAATTAATGCATACATGCACATTTGGGCAACCTTCATTGAGAACATACCACACGTGGTCTCACGTGTATTTATTGATGATGCTTATTTATGGGTACACATCAACCATGTCAATGATCTCGTTCGTGCCTTCCAAACGACAGAGCAATGGGGAATTGTGGTAGGCCAGAAGCTCAACCACTCCAAGAGTGTACTTTGGGCGACGAGTGGACACGCTCGCCAAATTGCCAAAAAGAGCTTCCCTTCCTTGCCTATGTTTCTCGAGTTCGATGTTTTGGGGGCCAAAATGTATACGTCTGACAGGGAGCACTTCCTTTTTGATCAACAGAAATTGTACAAAGTTGTTGCCGATATCCGTAACATTGCCAACCTGCCTATTCCAAGACAGACCAAAGAATTTCTGGTTAGCTGTAAGGTTCTCCCGCAGATTTCTTTTGCTTCCCAGGTCTCAAAGATTCCGAAACGAGCATTAGATAAGATCCAGAGTGAAATTGCCCAAGTTTTCTGGGGATCTCGGCCTCATTGGCGCTCCAAGATGCTAGTTTTCGCGTTGCTTACCAAGGCCTTCAGAGTTGAACCGACGTGTGCACGAGCATGCTCAACGATCTTTGAGTTCTGGCGTTTTGTCCATGCACACCCTGAACGCGTGCATCAGTGCTGTGACATGCTGCGCAATTATGCCTTGGGCAAACATAGTCTCCTGGCCCGAGTGCAGGATGCCTTAGCTCTTTTTCGCCTGCATTTGTCCGAAGATTGTTGCCTTGTTTTTGCAAGCACGCACATTCCTATCCTGGAGGTAGGTGTCAGGGACATCAAGCCGTTATTACACACCCTTTGTACGCAGTGGTGCTATGAACGCGCTGCCGACCAATCAAGGAAAGATTTGTCAAAACCATCAGGGTTCCTGGATGTTGCATTGTCCAAGTCCTTCTCGCAGCTTTATATCAAACCATTTGATAAAGCTTTAGATTTGACAGCGCACTTTGAGTCCCAAGCTGTGGGGTGTTCAATCACACGAGACAGGCGTGCTGCAGCCGGCTACTGTGACTCCAAACTATGCCGCTTTTGCAATGCGGAAACTGAGTCACTGCGACACTTGCCCACAGATTGCACCGGTGCCCTACCTCATGTTCAACCTCCTCTGCATGAGCTAGGTCCTAATTTCCAGTTGCTTGGCTTGGTCGATCATCCAGTAGGGATTGCCAAACATCGTCTGGCATTTGCATCCGTACAACATGACATTTCCCCTCCATTTGTTGCTGATGCAGACACCCAGCATGTCTGGACGGATGGATCTGTTTTTCTTGCTGAATCATATTGGTTGACAACAGCTGCGTACAGTATTATTGATGCATTAGGAAGAACTATTGATACTGGACCTGTACAATCTCCAAAACTCTCCTCATATGCAGAGTTATTTGCTGTGTATAAAGCCACCGCTCTTTCCAACACCGCAATTGTCATTCACACGGACTGCAAATCTGTTGTTGACCAATTCCATCAGCTCCTTCTTCACCAAGAACCCTTGGACAACGTTTGTCACATTTTTTGGTGGAAAGCCTTGTGGAATATAGTGAAACAGAGACAAGACCAGCATCCTCAGCCTGTTAAGCTGGTTTGGGTGCCAGCTCATATTGCAGATGACCTGACAGAATTGGAAATAACAGACCAGTATGCGGAAGAACACAACACCACACGATTGGACATCCTTCTCAACCGTGAGGCAGATAAAGTTGCAAAAGACACTGCTATGCAGAACGCTCCAGTCTTTCCAGACGATTTTCAGCACCTGCGAAAGAAAGTTTTTGACAGACAGATATTTCTTGCAAGGTGGAATCGTACAATTGGCAGTGATTTCATCAAGGATGAAGACACGGCGCAAAATACCGGTGGCGTTGACTCAACCCCGGTTGATCTGCGATCCAGGTTTCCTAGGTGGGATTGGATTCAAGACCCTTCGTTGTTCCAATGGACATCCAACACTCGTATTGATCAACCACGAGGCTCGCTTGCTAAACCCGATCCGGTTGATCTCAACACATTTTTTGACTTCACCACATCGCTCCAATGGCGTGTATCAGATGACGTTTGCACAGCTTACGTCGAACTTGCCTTTTTGTTTTGGAAGCGTGGCTTCTTTCTACGTGCATGCTCTGCAAGTGACTCAACTTTTCGGGACTTGACGTTTTGGCTCAGAAGAGCTGTTGTCTTTATCAACAAGTTGCCCAACCACGGCATCTTATGCTGATAACTGTCGGCTTAAGACTGAGGGTAAAGCTTTACCACAAGGTGCCATCGTGGGTGCCATACCTAGGTTTGCACACGATGAACTCTTCGAGTTTGCGTCTTTGTGCAATCAGGGCTGCAGCAAACTTTTGTCCACATGGGAATTTCCTCTTTGATTTCCCATTCTTTGTCGGTCGTAGGTCTTTTCACTTGGTTCACTTTTGCTGCCGGTAGACCCTGCGTGTCTACGGTGGCGTTTCATGACCGCCCAACAGGGGCATTGACGGCGGATCATCGAAACGAGGGAGGTAGAAGAGGTTCTTCAATTCAAACGGGGTGGGGTTCTTAGCCACGCGTGTGCACTATATAGATGGTACAGTCGACAAACAATCACTTGCAGGGCATCCGTTCAACACAGGTGGACCTGGCAGCCCCTTCGACGCTGAAGGACGCCATCGAAGGAGAGCCGGGCCGGGAGCAGCACACAGGAGCACACGGGAGCAGCAGGTGGAAGGGGTGGAAACTATGAAGACAGGCTTTTAATTTGGAACATGAACCAGCCCTCAAATCCATGCAAAACAGGTGTTCACTAATTTGTAAACGCCATGTGTATTTTTCTGGTGGGGGAAAACACGTGTTTGAGGGTTTGTGGAGTTCCTGGAAGTGGCCGTTTTAGGGGAGAACATGACACTGGTTGTTTGCCTTCCTGTCTTCCGGAATTTGGAGAAGTGAGATACTTCAGTACTACAGAGTCTCGATGTTGAAGAATCATGGCCGAACTGTGGGGTTGATGTAGGCTCATGGTCGACCAGGATCAAGTCGAACCCCAGATTAGCGATCTGATCGGCCAAGTGTTCCCTAGATCTGATCGGCGGCGTTGCTTGGCATGGTACAGCTGAGGATGAAAGGTTGCTCATCCAATCTGAATGCCTTCTCTTCAGATCTTGGATCCATGCAGAATTTCAGCTTATTTCAGCTTGATCAGACTCGACATCTCGCACTTGGCCCATCCACCTCCTTCCCAACAGCTTCCAACAGCTTTGGCAGTGGATCCCTGGGCAGATGACCCCGGGCAGTGCCTCCGGTTCCGTCCATCGGTGCAGGAGCCTCTTATTCCTTGTTGGTGACCTCCGATGGCTCAGGCGGTCGCAGCAGGAGCTTGTGGGTTTGCTGTTGTTGTTTTTGCTGTTGTGTGGTTTGATTTATATAGAAACTGTGTTCAAGAGTGCTTAAACCTTTAGAGGGATTCCGCATATTCCCCTTTCTATCTATTTCCATGCGGCTATGAATTTGTCCAGCGTTATAGTTGGCAAGAATTATACATGTTTGCACATGAAACCACGAGGGATGTTTGTAAACCAAGTCTGAACAGACTGGGCGGAACTCATCAAATCTTTGGCAATGGCAACTAGTAGACAAGACTGAAATGCCCCATGTGTCTCGGGGATGGTGATCCACTAATTGTCAACTATCCTTTGAGTGTCTATACTTTGGATGTGTCCCAGGAGATAACCAGCTTGTCATCATCCACTGAGACACAACCAACCTATGCTAGTTGCAGCGGCAGATCATGAGTTATTGCTGACGATTACTAGATCGGTGAGAAGCGGGTGAGTCATGAGCACAACTGTGATGTTGCTGGAACTAGAAATGCAACTTGGCCCTCAGCATGGACATTCCAATTGCCAAAAGCAGTGCCTGTGGTGTTTCTCTCTCTTGCCAGTGTTGGGTTTTCTGCCTATTGGCAAGCCTATGAGCGGCCATCTCTTGGTGATAGTCAGGTTTGTTGCTGGTCTTTTGGCAAACATGCTTTACAATCTTGTGGCGTTGGTAGTGCCACTTAAGTGCGCGAGGGCGAGAGCTCTTCTTTGTGGTCAGTGTTTCTGGGTTGATGCCACTTAGCCCGCAGCATGGAAATTCTAATTGCAAAAAGCGCTGCCCGTAGGGTTTCTCTCTTGCCATTGCTGGGTTTTCTGCAACCTCGCTGTTTAATTGGCTTTGTGTGACTACACCTTGCAGCATTTGGCAGGGCTTGGCAGCGACAAAGGTTATGTGCACTGAACCTTGAAGTCTTTGACGATCGCGGCTGGTGGCCAATCTGATAGCGATCGACCAATGGGCTGCTGAAGCCCGGCAATGGCTCGCTCCCCAAGGCGGATGAAAGAATGAGCGAGCGGGGGCAGCGCCAAGTAGCATCATGTTGCAACGAAGCCAGGCTACTTGGATCTCGCGAAGGCCGTCGACCGGTGGCGAAAGCTGTCGAAAGCCGACTTGGGTGTCAAGGTGCAACGCCGGAAGAAGATGCGTTTGTCTTAGGAACCCACCTCGCTGCAAGTAGCAGCTGTGAAGTTCCTAGAGCAAACCCCGCGCGTTCTGATGCTGTCCTCGCCATGCACCGTCTTTTCCCAATCAGATGCAGCACTCCGTTCGAGGCCTCGTCGCGCACACATGGCAAAATTGCCACCGCTAGCATGGGAAGCCCATCCGAGTGCCAAGCTGCACCTGTCACCTGTGAGGCCACCTGCAGCATGGCACTCAGCGAATTCAATGCAGCATGCAGCATGCTGCTGTTGCTTCATTGGGACCAACTTATTCGTGGAGAAGACTGTCGCCAATTTACCACCAATGTGTTCTTCTCTGTTTTGGGGGGCAGATGGCGCGCAGAAGGCGCTCAGCCGAGTGATGGAGCACCGGCAAGCGAGCGTTCATTTGGACAGATGAGGTCGATGGCAGAGGGCTTGGCCAGATAATCCCTGGCCTTCAGGCAAGTGACTGACTTGGTCGTTTGACTCTTGCAATGGTGATTGCGAGCCCACCAATGTGGTTCTGAAACAAACTGACAGCTTTCAACTCGCTGTTTGCCACATCTTGCAGACAGCGTGCTGCTGCTGCTCACTTTGGACCGCCTGCGAAACACCGAACAAAAAAAGACATGGCACTAAAGGACGAACCAGCAAAAAAGTAAAACCCACAAAGTGCCTAATACGCCTGCTGAAATACACAGCAAAGGATGGAAACACAGAAGAAGAAGAAGCAGAAGAAGAAGAAGAAGACGGAATCCCTGCACCGAAGCTACTGCGCAGCCAGCGATCCCAATGATCTACCAGCGTTTTCTGGTCGCGTGGCTCGAAAGCGCCCGCGCGAAACCTGTCGCAGGTGATCCCTGTGGCCTACGTGAGTGCAGTGCCCTGCCGCTGCTGTGCGACTCGATCCACGTGGGACCAGCGGACGATGGGGTGGGCCAGACGTGGGGCCAAGGGTGTTCAACAGCAAATGTCGCTGAGGTGAGAGACGCCGCTGAGGTGAGAGACCTCCTATTCAGACCTATTAATAAAACTCCCCAGAAGAAGAGGTTTTTACCATCCAGATGGAAGGAGTAGTGGAAGGAGTTTTTAAATCAAGAGTCTATATTCAATATTCCATGCATTTCCATCCTATTTCCAAAGAGGATCAGTTTTGGGTTCAGTCATGCTTCTGGGGGTAATGGGCTGACAGAGTGGCTGACAGTGTTTGGAAGGAAACTTGCCTTTTGTGAAGTTGGTTGATCCTCTACCCTGACATTGCCTGTATACCCTTGTTGAAGGTGATTCCTTTCATCACCCAGAGATTTCCGCCCTTCCGCAGGATTCTGCAGGGGCTTCCGAAGCGGAATCAATCAATTCTATTTGCTGCAAACCATCGCTTGCTGGTATAAACTTGAAAGGTGGTACATGAAGTGCCCGGCGGTTTATAGGGGTGTATGAAAACCATTTGAACGCACCACGAGCAGAAGATTTCCTAGAGCAACCTGCAGATGGCGCGAAAGCGGTACGGTATTTCTGCTCTTTTTGGGGGAGTCGTCGGTGTGTCGAATGGCAGTGGGTGTTGGGCGACCACGATAGATCTGGTCACATTCTGGTTGAACCTATATAGTGTATATCAAAAAGCATATATATCCTGGGAGTCAAAGACTATCAAAAGAATGGTCTTTAGGTGACCCGAAAACAAATATTATATATAACATGTTAAGTTGTTCCTCTCTCCAGATCATGGAAACAAGAACTCACAAAGGCCCACGTTCTTTTCGGACGACGAAAGGGGCCGTCGACCCGGCGAGCTCCGGGAGCCGCATCAAGGCTCGCCAAGCATCAACCCACACCTAAGTCAGGCGAGAACGAAAGCCGCGGGGTTGGGAGAGGTTGTCATAAACAAGTTCATGGAGGACATCGAATCGCTTATCACAAATGATCAGAAAAGGTTCATGATCATAAAATGCCATGTCACAAATGCTGGCGGTTTAAATACAGTCACCAACCACTCGTTGGAGGACCTTGTGCTAGGGAACTACTTCGGCACCCTCAGTCTACTTCACAAGGAAGTGCACCACCTGTTCTGAGAGGAAGGTTGTTTTCCCAGACGCCGTGCCATCCACTTCCATGATAGATCATGATAGTGAGTTGGAATAGTATTTCCCCACCTGCCAGGTGAGGGTTGTTAGATTTTACCTGAGCTCTACTCCTCCTTCTTCTCCTCCTCCTCCTCGCCATCTCCTCGCCAACTCTTGATTGCAGTGGGCACTACCGGACCTCAACCACAAGCTCGCGATCGCAGTCGCCGGACCTCAACCACAAGAGCCCGATCGCAGTGGGCGCTACCGGACCTCAACCGCCAGCTCCCGATTGCAGTGGGCATTGCCGGACCTCAACCAGCAGCGTCCGAGTCCAGTGGGCACCACCGGACCTCAACCACTAGATAAGAATGTCAGATAGAATGCCAGATAGAGCCACTAGAGAAGTGAGATGAGCCATGCTGGATCTGTGTGTGGTAAAAAAGTGCCATGAGTCCTGCAATCATTTGGGTTGTGCATGTTGGAAATAATTACCACCATGCATGAAGTGTCATGGTGGGGATCACTCGAAGTAAAGTAACTGCTTTAAATGGACGTCAATGAACACCCAGTAGATGAAGGTTCCCTGCGTCTTGAACTTTGTTTGAGCAGCCAGTTCCCAAGCTCAGTTACCGGTCATCCAATCCAGTCAACAGTGCGGTCCGCTCTTCATCCCAGGCGCAATGAGAACATGGTGAAATCCGTGCAAAACATTCGCAACCTGTTTCTCAGTAGGTTACATGCTAGTCTTGCTCAACAACAACACCAGGCCAGTATTTTCGTTTTCAAAGCATGATACCGTAGATGAACGTCCCCAAGACCTTTTTTGCTGAGATGTGTTAAGGGAGGTGGGATCACGTGGATGATCCTTCCATGTGTGTCCCAATGTGTGCGCTGGGCACAACCCGTCCATCATCGTCTGCATTCTGAAAAGTTTTGCTTTCATGACTGCAAAAGATTTGTTGAGAACAGGTCATAAGAGAGGTTGCATGTTCCCACATGGTGGGCCCCCCCAAAATGGCTGAATGATGTCATGTTCTTTTGTTTTTATATTTATGACGACAATAGTCTCTCTATGCTATATTCCACCTGGTGCAATATTTTTACGCCAAGTAGTCTAGGTCAGGTGTTTCTTCTAAAAATTCCAGAGGGCCAAGAATATATGTAGCTCGGTGTTTCATCCAGAGCACCCTCAGGTGCCAGTAGAGGCATTGAAGGCCGGATCTTGAGAGTCTTGGGCACAGGGGGAAAGGTTTCGGGTCTTGGTTTTGGGTTTGGATTTAAAGAAAGAGCAACCAATCCCCAACATTCCCCAACAATATCCATGTTCTCTTGGTCTTTGGATGATCGCTGCAAATATCTCAGGTGAGAAATTGTTTGAGGGTAATGTTCTTACTTGTCTCACTTGAATGTCAACTCATTGATGACCGTCTCCAACTCTCGGCTGAAAGTTTCATCGAGCGTGTGAAAAAGGCACAACGCGCCCGCAGTTATGGGCATCATTCGTCGCCAGATGTCCAGCGCAGAGTTTGTTCAGAAAAAGGTACTAACAACAACAACAACAACAACAACAACAACTACTACTACTACTACTACTACTACTCTACTACTACTACTACTACTACTACTACTACTACTACTACTACTACTACTACTACTA